CTGGTGGCTCAGGCCCTCAGACGAAGCCATCGATGCAGCCATTACAGCCTGGGAAACCCGAACAGGGCAGATTGCCTGATAGATGGGCTCGCTGCGTTCAGTTTCACTCGCGAAAACAGGAGNNAAGGACCAGTCGGCCCTGTCGCATTTAGGGTATGCCGCGGTCAACCAACGTGTCAGCCCCGAATTCTCGAATCCCTGAAGCTTGAAGCTTAACCATCCGAGCAACAGACCCATAGACCCTGAAACTTGAAACGCTGAGCCCAAAACCTTGGACCTTACACTTGATAACCAACACCTAGACAACAGGAAGTGGCCCCGAGAGCTACTGAGAGCTACTGGGGGGTAGGTTGGGGGGGGGGGGGGNNGGGTTTAGGAGCCTATGATATTGGGTTCTCTGGGTACAGCTGTGTAGGGTTTCGGGTGTACCGCGAGATTCCCGTATCCTACACTTAAACCATTCAGGAGGATGCTTCAAATCAAGAGGTCTCTCGAGTTGTCTTGCAACGATTATCGGAGAAAAGCTCCGTCTCTTCTTAAGCTGAAGACTCCACAGTCTACAGTACATCTAGCGGCTTAAGCTTTAAGGTTATTTGGTGGTATGTATATGGGCTCGGAAGTTCCTGCTGAGGCCAAGTATATACAATTCGGATAATTGACTCTGTGTGTATTGGATAGTTTCGCTTGTTTGACAGTGGTATCGTGTGTGTTTGTTTTGTGACGTCTGAGATACTGTGCAGATCTTGGTAAACTTGGATCTAGGCCTTGTACTTAGGGCTGGGCCTACCGTTTCCAGTGTTTGGGGTTTGTACAATAGCCAGCTTGTTTCAGTTGGAAGTCTGAGGACAAGGTGATTACCAAACGAGCGCCACAGCCACACAGCCTGATTGAACCCTAAACTCACAAGACTTCATGTGCCAAACCCGCGCCATACTCAAGCAGGTCCGTCAAACCTTTCAGCCTGTCGCTTTTCATGCCTTGTTACACTCGCTAGCTTTATACACCCTGTTGAATCCACTGTCAGTATTTCAACCCACCCTAAACCTCTAAATCCCTAGACCCCTAAACCCCTAAGCCCCTAAACCCTAAACCCTAAACCCCTAAACCTCTAAACCCAAACTGTTATCATGCTAAGCCAGATGATGGCCCAGGGTGTCAGAGGGTCAGAAATCATGCGGCGCAGGGAGTGCTTGTAGTGGTTTCGCCCTAGAAGTGCATTTGTGTGTAGGATTGATGCTCTACTTCTGTTATACCTGCATAACATACGTCCATCAGGTTTTCTATAGAGGGCCCGCATACAGCCGAAGCCGTGCATCGCGAGTAAAGCTTTCACACATGCTCTTTGTTCAGAGTGCCGATGAGGTTGAGGCCAGGCCTGCGATGAGATGTTCATTACACAGGGGCTGAGTAGGTAACCTTCAACCTTTTTGGGTTGTGCATAATTCTACTATAATTCAAAAGGTTAACCTTTTGTTGGCTAGGGTACTCAGCCCTTAAGATTATAATCTATGGCAGGTCTGGTGTTCCACCTCATTTCAAGCATTTGCAACCCTGAAGACTGTCAAACCCTTAGCCCTAAACCCTAAGCCGCTTCTGTGCCCTTGCTGAAAACGATAGCCCCGCAGGCGTTCAATGCTTGGCGCCAAGCTTTTCTGGTCCATGGCACCATCTGCGTACCTTTCGACTCGCATCATCGGCAGGCAGTTTGCAAAGGTTCCTTTCCTAACGGTGCTGCTGTCTCTGTGTGTGTGTCCTGCGTTCACGACAGGGTTTACAAATACTTAGATTTTGTTCGGGCACTTTGTCCCCCCAAACCAGCAAAGCGGCCGTGACTTCCATAGCCTCCATCTACCTTGAGCGGATCAATCCCTTAAACATTACATTCGAAGCCGTCATGTACGAAGGAGCATCAAGGGTTCATATACATATCTCGCACTCGGTTTTGGTTGGGTCACGGCTTATTTTTGGAGTTCCACACCGCATGAGAGCTCAATACCCCACATTCGGGGAGCACCTATACCTTTTTGACTTCCTGGCTTCTGGCCAATGGATACCATATAACAAGTTAACCCAACATATGAACTATGCCAATTGGTATAGGTGTTGTTCAGAGCATGGCAAGGTGCTTTAGTTGCAATTTAAAGGTCGTTCCCTTGCTTACGAAATCTTGGGCCCTGTGGCTTTGGGCTTTCGTGGTGCTCATTGCGAGCCTCTAGCCATGGATAAGAAGGAGCAAGGCTTCGTATAGGGCTCCGGGAACTGAGTTTACGATGATCAGCAACTCGCAGCTTGAATGCTATAGATTAGGAACCCAGAAAGGACATAAGCATAAGCATGTTATAGGGATATCCCCACCTTACTGGGCTTCATTATAACGGAGTTTATATGGGATATATCCCTATCCTAGTTTTTGCTTATGTGCTCAGCATTACGTAAACTTTGTAGAATCCCTTGCAATACCCGTAATCAGCAGCATGTATTGGTGTATGCATGTAACCGCGTAAGGAGCATGCTGGTGTGTATATAACATATGTAGATGCATAATATGTATTGCTGTACGTCTGCAGCATGGTACGTCTGCACCGCAAGAAACCCCAAGCCCGCAACTCTTCCCGTAAATGTTTAAGAAACACCGCACGCCGGCGCCGTATGAGGTTGGACGGCAAGGTCAGTCTGTCTTCCTGGACGGTTTCGCTGGCATGTGTTTCGTGTCCAGTTCAGCGGTTTGAGGCCGTACACACACGCAGAGACATCTTCATAAATACATATATCCACCTGTCCTATCGATCTATCGAGCGATCGATCTATCTATGTACACATGCACGCCCAGACACACGCACACACACACACACATATATATATATATATATACCCTAAACCCTAAACCCTAAACCATACACCATGAAACCTGAACCCTAAACACCTATATATATATATACACGCACACACTCAGTTGCCTTGCACGAAAAGTCAGACCTTGGGAAACACGACGTTTTTATTCCGGAGTTTGGAGTTGAGATTTCACACCAGATGGAGCTTGGGTCGAAATGAAGACCAATCTTATCACAACCCTAAGGCTCAAAATAGCCCAAAAGCCTTATATAGTATGGTCTTTGGGTCCAAAAAACTGAAAAACTGGTCCAAAAACCTTCAGATATGAGTCCTTACAGCCTTAGGCTTAGGGCAAGGGAAATCCTCAGCATGGAACTACCCTAAACCCTAAGCCCTGAACCCTAAGCCCTAAACCCTAAAACCTAAACCGTAAACCCTAAAACCTAAACCTTAAACCCTAAACCCTAAACTCCCCAAAAAACCCGAAACTCCCCAACAAAACCCCTAAACCCTAAACTCCCCAAAAAGCCCTTCAGAGGAAGCCTGAAACGGACCCTGAGCCAGGCA